TTACAATATTGAGATTTCCAATCCACGAGCAAATCTCCGCTTGTTTAAGGCCTTTTTAAGTTCTCTCAATAGCCCTTTTTTGGTTTTCTATGTAGAGACTTTATTCATCTTCTACTAGGCTCCTTTCTAAGTTTTATATATTTTTATGCTATTATAAATAGTACCTTTTTAAATTTTCATTCTCTGTTTGTTGTAAGCATATAGAAATATAACTGATTTTTGTATTGATTTTGTACCCAATCATCTTTTACAATTCACTTATTTCAGGTTGGTTGGTTTGTTGGTTTGTTTGTTTCTTACTCCGTCACCCAGGCTGAAGTGCAGTGGCATGATCAGGCTCACTGCAACCTCCACTTCCCAGGTTCAAGTGATTCTCATGCCTCAACCTCCTGAGTAGCTGGGATTACAGGCATGCATCACCATGCATGGGTATTTTTGTATTTTTAGTAGAGACAGGGTTTCACCATGTTAGCCAGGCCAGTCTCGAACTCCTGGCCTCAAGTGATCCTCCTGCCTGGGCCTCCCAAAGTGCTGGGTTTAACAAGTGTGAGCTGCGGACGTGGCTAAAATTCACTTATTTTGTATATTGACTTTGTACCCAACTATCCTCTAAAATTCATTATGTTCAGGAGAAAGACTGGCATCCAATTTTTGTTTCTCCTATTATTCTTGCTGAATTTTGGTGTCAACTTTACGTTGTTTAGAGTGGGTTCCCTCTTTGTTTTTCCTCTGAGAGAATCTGTGGAATACTGGTATTCCTTCATCTTTGATTGTCTAGTATAACCTACAAGTAAAGCTTTATGTACCTGGAATTTATTTAAGGATTTTTTTTATTATTGATTACATTTCTCTAATGGTTATATTAATAGAATTATGTGGGTTTTCTATGTCTTCTTGGGTCTGTTTTTATAAGTTATGTTTGTTTATACATGTGTCTGTTTTATCTAGTTTTTGAATTGTGATAAAATTATCTAAGTTCTTATACCATATCCTTTTTTGTTAAACATCTATAACTTCAGTGATATTCTCTTTTTTTTTCTGCTATTTTTCTTTTTTTTTGTATTTTATTGCGTTTTAGGTTTTGGGGTATGTGTGAAGAACATTCAGGATTGTTGTGTGGGTGATATTTTTCTTTTTAAAAACATTTTTTTAGAGATGGGGTCTCACTGTGTCTTACAGGCTGGAGTGCAGTGGTATGATCATAGCTCACTGCAGCCTTAAACTCCTGCAATCAAGGGCTCCTCTGCCTCAGCCTCCTGAGTAGCTAGGACTACCGGCATGTGCTGCCACACTCAGCTAATTTTTTTTTTTTTTTTTTTTTTTTTGTAGAAACAGGCTCTCGCTATGCTGCCCAGGCTGGTCTCAAACTCTTAGGCTCAAGTGATCATCCTTCCTTACCCACCCAAAGTATAGGTGTGAGCCACTGCACCCAGCCTGGTATTTTTCAGTAAGAACTAGTTATTTTTTAAAATACCTACTCATAGTAGAATAAAACTTTACCTATATAAAAGTATATGAAATTGAAAATAAGTCTCCAGAATCCCATTTTCCCACACTAACATAGCTACTGGTAACCGTGTGGGATACATTCTCACAGTCTCTTTCTATACATGCATAGACATACTCTTTACAAAAAAAGAGCTCATACTATATATGCATTTCTGGAACCTCCTTTCTTCCACTTAAAACGTCATCAACACCTTTCATTTCAATGTGTATTGCTCTACCTCATCCTTTTTAGTGGCTGCACAATATTCCACTGAAGTGAGAAAACTGTAATTTATTTAACCAATCTTCTACTAATGATACATTTGAATTGTTTTCCTCGTTCTGCTATATAAGGAATGCTCTTTGGTTCTTGCTTTGTTTTGCTATGGGCAATAATGAAGGATGGCAGAATCCAGGGCACTGTTCTGAGATTAGCCATGAGCAAAGAAGGAGCTGCCTAAGCTTCAGCCCTCCTGCGGCAGCACTCACCCGTCTTCATATCTCCCTGCGTGTGCTTCTCAGGAGAAGGTCCAGCCCCTGCACTTAGATTCATGGGGATCCCAGATACAGAATCACCCGGACTAGAGAAAGCTAGGAGGAGAACAGGGGAGGAACGGTGGGCTGGTATGGACAGAGGTTCCACAGGGGCAAGATCTTCATGAGCAAGAGCACGATTTCTGCCCCCAACCTGCCTATGGAGCCTTGGGCAGGTCTGTAGGTGATGAGTTAGTCTTTCAGCATGACAGGAGCCTCTGTTTTCTCTTTCAGGGCACGTTCTCTTTTGAATTCCAGCCCCTGAAAGCTGGAGAAACCTTAGGAAGACTGACTTTGCACAGCACTGACTTGGGTTACTACCAGTATGAGCTCAATCTGAAAGCCACGCCAGCACTTCCGGAAAAGCCCGTTCACTTCCATACTGCCCTTGGCAGCAGTCAAAACATCCTTGTGAAGTTCATAAATTATACACGGCAGAGGACAGAATACTACTGCAGGGTGGGTAGCCCCTTCCCTTGCAAGAATGCTGGATCCAAAAACAATGAGAGGAGACACAGAGGGAGAATGAATGTGAGACTCAGAGAGACTCAGGTGCTTCATTGCCATGGTGACACCTGCCTCAGAGGCCTGAATCTAGCCTGGAAATGCCCAGCTAGAAACAAACAGCGTCAGGCCTGAGTTTTGCCATTATAGACTTTCTGTCTTAACAAGCTGTGATGGAGGGTAGGGGAGTTTTGTTTCCCACAGCACACTCAGGGACCCAGAGAGGGAGACAGCGTAGCTTAGTGGTCATGACATCGGCTGTGGAATCAAACAGACATGGGTTTGAATCCTGGCTTCACCACTTATTCTTTGTATAAATAATTTGCTTAAGCTCTCTAAGCTTATCTATAAATGGGACTAATACCCCTGACCTTGCAGGATTGCTGTAAGGATTTTAAATATGTATCTAAAGCCATTTTCTTAGAACCTAGCCTATAGTAAGTGCCCCATATACATTAGCTGTTATATCAGTTGAAATATAGGTTCAACTACTAAAACAGAAACCCAAAGCTAGGTGCAGTGGTTCATGTCTGCAATCCCAGCCCTTTGGGAGGCAGGTGGGAAGATCACTGTAGCCAGGAGTTGAAGACCAGCCTGGACAACAGAGTGAGACCTCGTCTCTATTTTTAAAAATAAAATAAAATAAAGATTTAAAAAACAAAAACCACAAATAATAGCAAATTAGATGTTGGTTCCTCTCACAAATAACAGTCTGAGCATAAGCAGTTTGAGCTGGAATCGCAGCTTGCTGACACCAGGCACCCAATACCTTCTGTCCCAATGCTTTGCCCTCTCCCTGGAGTTGTTTTGGTCCACATGGGCCAAGATGGTTTATCGGGACATCCACATTCCAGCCAGCTACAAGGGAAGAGGGGACAGCTGTATATAGCACCTCCACTAATATTCCCTGGAACCAAACTTCACAGGACCACACTTATCAGCAAAGGAGCTAGGAGAGATAGCTTTTGTACTGGGCAGTCACATGCCCAGGTAAAATCAGAGACCTTGTGGCTGTAACCAAGAGGCAGAGGCTCTTGAGGAGTCTTATCAGCCAAGAGAGGCTAAGTTATATGCAGTAACAATCACAGAGGCTTAAGATGAAGACTTGTTCCTCATTTGAGCTATCTACCAGAGAGGCCGGAAGGGGAACCTACTCATCTCAGTCCCTTGGGATTCCAGCAGCACCTCAGATATTTCCAGTACAGTACTGGAGGGGTGAAAAGACCCTGACAGGAGTTAAACTGGCAATGAAAGGCTCTAGCATGGAAGCGCACCTTACGCTTCTGCTCACCGCCAGTTGTCTGAAACTAGCCCCACCCATCCACAAACAGCCAGGATGTTTGGTCTTCCATGTGCATGGAAGGAAAGAACCCGATATAGGGGACCAGCCTCCGTGACTGCCCTATTGACATAATCTGCCTGTGTGTCTCAGTGCACATTATTAACATCTCTTTGCCTTTGTTTCTTTGTAGCAAAATGGAAATAATAATTAGTCATGCCTACCCTGCAGGGGAGTTATAAGGACACAACTTTATAGCATTCCCAGTCTCACACAGACATAGTAGCTTGATGTCTAGGGGTGGAGGGACTGGGGTGGACTTGAGCTCCTGAGGTGCTCCTCAGGATCTCACGTGAGCTGAGTTTGTTTGTTCCCCTTTCAGACAGACTGCACAGACTTCCACGCAGAAAAAATCATTAATGCAGCCCCAGGAGGCCAGAGCGGCACTGAAGCCAGTGTGGAAGTCTTCTTCGAGCCCAGCCACCTGGGTGAGACCAAGGGCATCCTCATCCTATCATCACTTGCAGGTGGGGAGTATATCATCCCCCTCTTTGGAATGGCTCTGCCTCCCAAGCCCCAAGGTCCCTTCCTGATCCGAGCCGGGTACAGCATAATCATCCCCTTCAAGAATATATTCTATCACGTGGTGACCTTCTCCATCATCGTGGAGAACCCAGCCTTCAGCATTCGCGCTGTGGAGTCAGTGCGGCCCAAGAAGATCAACAACATCGCAGTCTTCTTTGAAGGAAACCCATCCGGCAGCAAAACCCCCATCACCACCAAGCTGATTGTGAGCTGCCCTCCTGGTGAAGGCAGTGAAGCTGGAATTAAATGGGTTTATTATCTAAAGGGGATCACCCTTTAGTGGTAACCAGAGTTACCTGCATCAACCAAAATCTACGCATTGTCTTAGCCTGACAAAGAATAGAGAAAACAATAAAAATTCTAAAGGAACTGTTTTTATTCTTCTCATACAATTATAGGGGCAGTTATTTCCATATTACATGTTTTCCAAATATAGATATGAAATATCTATTTCATATTAAACATTATAACTACACACAACAGATCTATATTTTAGACAACTGAATCGTTGTAAGTCCTTAAATTTTGTTTCTTGACATCACCCCAAAGCTCAAGTACTTTGTAATAATCTCCATTTTTTACAAGAAGGCACAGGTATCACACTAATAACCTTCTACCGTACAACACTTAGCAGCGCGTGCCGCTGGTCACTGCAGTTTCTTTTAAGATCCAAAATGGTGGGGTCTCTCCTTGCCGCAGTGCACCAGAGCACGAATCTGAGGCGGCGGGAGTCATGGCAGGACAGGTGTTTAGAACGTTTCTCCCACTCTCTGACCGAGTATTGGTTGAAAGGAGTGCTGCTGAAACTGTAACCAAAGGAGGCATTACGCTTCCAAAAAATCTCAAGGAAAAGTATTGCAAGCAACAGTAGTCACTGTTGGATGGGGTTCTAAAGGAAAGGGTGGAGAGACTCAACCAGTTAGCGTGAAAGTTGGAGATAAAGTTCTTCTCCCAGAATATGGAGGCACCAGCGTAGTTCTAGATGGCAAGGATTATTTCCTATTTAGAGATGGTGATATTCTTGGAAGGTACGTAGACTGAAATAAGTCACTATTGAAATAGCATCAACGTGAAGCTGCCCATTCCATGGAAGTCCTGAAATCTTTCATCATGTAAATAATTTCCATATCTCTATTTTATAATAAACTAATGATAACTGATAAAATCCAAAATGGTTTAAAAAGCCCTTAAATATGACTATTTTGATGTGGCATTTTATTCTGCTTTCACATAAAAGCCAAATATTTCACATAAAAGCCAAATATTCTGCTTTCACATAAAAGTCAAGTATTTTCAAAGGGATGAACAGATACCATTAGGGCAACCCAGGGACACTTCCGTCAGTTTTTCTCTTGGCTTTTATGCTATCAGTGTCCGAATCCCACATCTGTCCTACACAGAAAGTTCTCACGGAAGTCCAGGACCTGGAGAATGGCTAATAGATATCCCAGCTTCCGCTGCCACACACACTCCCAGGCTTGGGTAGCACTTGCAGGAAGAGCAGGGATTCCCATCCCATCTGCACATCAGAACCACCTAACTCTCATTCAGAGCCTCCCTCAACCCCATCTGATTTAATTGGTCCAGAGAGGGGTGTGGGCATCTTTATTATATACATAACTTGTACAGCAGAGTTGAGAACCAGTGCTACAGATCAGTCACCTGCCCCGCCATTTGTGCTGCAACTGAGTTAGGAAATCCCTGCCAGGGAAAGGACCACACCTCAGTTTGATACGTTGCAACTGTCCCTATTTTGTGTGCACCTAAAGCATGGTGATTAGTGCCTTTTTTCAAACATCACTCTGGAAGCTTCACCTCCAAGGAGCAGTGGGGCACCTGCCTCAGCCCAGAGACTTGGCTTCCCCTGGGTCTTGTGGTGTGTATTAATAGGACCACTTACCTATCAGCATCACCTTTTGAAATAAAGATGGTTAAAGTCTGGCCCTGGAATGGATTTGCTTCTGCAGACATACACCTCTGACTGAGGGTCCCCCTGCATCTACCTGCTCCACATACTCATCCCCTACAGCCCTCCTGCAAGAGGGGGAGGAGGCTGGAAGAAGATGGCCTCTTGGGAATGAATGCCATAAAGAAATGGGTCTTAAAAATGGTCCCTGGGCCAGCAGCAGTAATATCACCTGGGAGTTTATTAAAAATCCAAATTCTCAGTCCACACATCAGATCTATTGAATCAGAAAGTCTACCGGTGTGGCTCAACAATCTTTTAGCAAGCCCTTATACTTGTCAGAGGTGGCTTTGATGGAGGGAGACTCTTCTACTTCTTCTGCACCTTCCCACAACCCTAGCCCAGTATACTCCAGGACCAAAGAAGCTTTTTCTAGAATGTCCGTAAACACAGACCTTTACAGTAGTCCTCCCTCATCCTCAGGGGATATATTCCAAGGTCCCCAGTAGATGCCTGAAACCACAGATAGTACTGAATACTCTACATACTGTGGTATTTTCCTTTACATACATACCTATGGTAAAGTTTAATTTATAAATTAGGCACAGTAAGAGAAGAACAACAATAATGATAACATGGAACAATTATAATTGTTCCAGCATCACTACCCATGTGCTTTGGAGCCATTATTAAACTAAAGTTTCCTTGAAGGCAAGCATTGCTCTGGGAGAAACTGCTTTGCACAGTTCAAGATTTAGGTACAATTTCTTACAATGTCACCAGCAGCCTCTTGCTACAAGTTATGTCATAACTTTTACATACCTTGTAATAGTGATTATGAATAGTTGTTACAGAACTATTACAAGTTCTAGCATCATAAGAGATGCTTGCTTCATCCAAGCATCATACAGATGCAGATGAATTATAACCATGAAATGATGACCAGTATGCAGCCGGGCACATCAGTTATCCCCTAATCCAGAAGAGTTTCAACAGGAATGGCCACAGGTCAGAGAAGAGGAACAAGGATAGAAGGCAAGGGTGGCCCTTGGACTTTATTTTTAGCACGACTGCTAGTTCAATTATGCATAAATAATCTTACCTAGTTGGCATTTTTCAAGATATTAGAGAAAAGAAACACTTCTTTCTAGGAACTTCGGACTTAAAGGTAGACACTGGTCTGGGCCTTGAATAAGAAACTGGTTACTTAGTAACCTGAGTCAGAATGTAATTTCAGGAGAAAAGAATACTTCTGTTAAAAAAAAAAAAAAAAACATCCTTACTGTTTGAATTATTAAAAACTGGGAAATTTTGACCCTTGGGAAATTCAGTTCACCTCTAAGAAAAGGCCAAACCAAAAAGCAAAAGAAACAGATGAAATATTATATTAGATAAGGGTCCCGTGGTGATCAACACACTCTGGAGAAATAGAACTAAATCATTCCCATTGATTTACATTTTTTCAGTGTTTTGCATCAACCATCATCAAAATCCTAAAACCAAACTTTGCAAGACATTTGGAGACGTTCTTGGCAGTACTACTACTGCTTGTTAGTGCACCTACCTTCATTGATAGGATTGTGTCGGCAAAGATTTTAACAGCTCTGAAAACCCCACCAGTATAGAAAAATACATTTTTTATGGATTGTCTAGACATCCTATCTCCATGACTTGCTGAGTTTGGGATTAACCTTTGTATTCATTTTCTATAGCTGCATAACAAATTACCACAAAACTAGGAGCTTAAAACAATACAAATTTATTAGCCCACAGTTTCCCTGGTTTGAGAGTCCAGTGTGACCTGGATTCTCAGCTCAGGGTTCCACAAGGCTGAAATCAAGGTGCTGGCCAGCTGCATCCTCATCAGGAGGCTCAACTATGGAAAGATCTGCTCCCAAGGACCCTCAGTGTGTTGGCAAAATTCATTTCCTTGTGGCCATGTGACTAAAGTCCTTACAGGAGAGTCTCTCTTCCACTTCAGATTTCTTCTCATCTCTTTTAAGTACTCACTTGATTCAGTCGGGCCAACCCAAGTTAATCTCTCTTATTAATTCAACGTCAGCTGATTGGGGACCTTAATTACATTTGCAAAATCTCTTCTGCAATATTGCATAATATAATCATGTGAGTGATACACAGCCCATCATGTTTACAAGTCTTGTTCACACTGAAAGAGGGCATAATACAGGGCATGTACACAAACGGGTGGGAATATTGGAGGTCATTCTAGAATTCTGCCTACCTTTGCCATTCATTCATTGTGTCCCTGTTTCTGATCTATGAGTTGAGGATAATATTCCATTTTCAGGATTGTTATAAGGCACTTTTCATTCATTAGAGAAGAGTATCACCATCCATTCTAAAACTGTTTATATTTGATATTCTTTGAGCTCCACTGTAATGTAGCCCTTGTCCTAAGTCCCTGTTCACTCTGAAAACTTATGATAATGTCTGATTCATCTTTCTGTCACTGCATGTTTACCACACTCCAGCCATAAATTGCTTTTAAATATTTGGCCACATAGTTGAGATTTCTGTTCCACCATGTAGTGTGATTCCCAAAGCATCTGAAGGGGCTGCTTTCCAGGGGACCCATCTAGAGACCTGAACTCAGCAGATCTGGGGCCTTTCTGTCTGTCTGTAACCAGCCGTCCTAGGCATCAGAGCATGGTAAACACACCTCAAGCCCCAAATGGTGGGGTGACAGACACTATTGGTAACTGAGATCTTAGGTGGTAGACAGGTAGTGCCATTTTTAACTGAGAATTTATTTTGATGTGTTTAGAAAAAAATATACCTATTCAAACTCGTGATTTTAGGGCATAAGCAAAGCTAAAAAAGATTTTAGGGTTTTTTTTTTTTTTTTTTTTTTTTTTTTTTTTTTAGTGAATTGATTTGAGGAAAACATTAAATAGATATAGTATTAATACAAGTGGCTAAAACATGGTGAAAGTGATGACGGTGTTACTCCAGTTAGGGAAACATGGGCATCCACAAAATTGGTAAGTGACCAAGTACTGAATGAACCAGTGAATTCGGTGAGTATTGAATCACGTTAAGTGAATCAGACTCCAGGAACCCCTTCGATCTCAGGAACGTCTACAGAAGCCCACCACGTGCCATCAATTGGGCAGGAGATACACACCCATTAAAGCACGTCTCAAACCACACTCCAGCTACCCTGCGCGCAGCCAGGATGATGTGCGCGTGGGGGATGGAGCCTTGCGAGGGCGTGGTTAATCAACGCGCGGCCCGTGGTGGGGGCGTGGCTGGAGAAAGGCGGGTCCTCGTGGCGGAAGGCGGAAGTGCTGTAGAATCATGTGACCCGAGTAACATGGCCGCTGTCCCGTGAGTGCTGCTAGTGCCGGGCGGGAGCTATTAGGCGGCCAGGGTCAGGTGTGCTGGAGCAGGGTCCAGGCCCGGGTTCCAGAGCGCGGCGGCGGGGCGAGGCAGACAAGCCCGGAGCGGCGTGGTCCATGCGCCGGCGCCGGGGGCAGCGCGGAGCCGCAGACTCCCCTGGCTCCGGCGCGGCCCCGGCAGCCGCGGGTTAAGGAGTCGCGAGGCTCCCGGAGCTATCACCATGAACCCGGAGAAGGATTTCGCGCCTCTCACGCCTAACATCGTGCGCGCCCTCAATGACAAGCTATACGAAAAGCGGAAGGTGGCAGCGCTGGAGATTGAGAAGTAAGAGCCGTCAGGACCCCTCCCTGGCTATGCAGCCCTTGACTGCTCTGCTCCCCAGGGAGACTGCTCACGCCTTCCCAGCCAGTGTTACTTTCCCAGGTTGCAGGCCCTTACCTTAGTGCAGTGTTTCAGAGCAGATTGGGAGTCATATCTGGGAGTCCCCGCTTTATTCCTGACTGGCTGTGTGATTTGGTCCCAGTTCTTTAACCTCCCGGTGCCACAAAGGGCTGCACTGAGAATGAAGTGACATAATGTATGAGTAGTGCTTGGCACCGTGCACGGCACATGGTGAGTCTTCAGTGCGGTGTCACCCAAGCCAGCAAATGAGGGAGTTGTGTCTTTGGTGGGAGAGAAGTCAGAAGCTGGAGAATTTACGGGTGATGCTGACCAGCTGGTTTCAGCTTCTGAGAAGTGAAAGAGACTGTTAGTGACCACGTAGAGAAATCAAGTCGGAAACTTCATGATCTCAAGACTCAGAGAGTTGTTTGTTTTATCTGTGTTATAACACCCTTCCCTGCAAGTGGAAGTAGAAATAATTTGACCTTTCTTGCTTCTGCAGTCCCGTTACATGTATGTGTAACAATGAACTGATATTTTACTTTACTTCCCAATATACAAAACAGCGAATGTTTCACTGCGAATGTTTTATTTATTTATTATTTATTTTACTGCAGTATTATTTTTACTTTTGTGGGGTTTTTTGCCAGTCAGATCATAGGGTTAAACTCAAGTGAGTTGAGTGATTTCAGAAGAGTGGAAAAAAGCAGGCTGTGAAACTGGAAAAACACCAGTCTGGGAGTCAGAAAAGGTGGATTGTAGTTCTCTTCTGTCCAGTAGAGTACCCGTTGGCCATGTGTAGCTATTATAAATTTCAATTATTAAAGATAACTTTAGTTTCTCAGTCATATTACCTGTATTTCAAGTGTTCAATAGCCACATGTAGCTGCTGGCTACTACATTGGGCAGCACAGATTATACACTGTTTCCATCATTGCAGAATGTTCTGTTGGACTGCTCTAATCCATTCCGTGGAGTAACATTGATTCTTTAACCTGGGGCAAATTCCTTAACTCAGGGTTTCTCAGCCTCTACACCATTCACATTTTGGGGTGGATAGATGATTCTTGGTTGCAGTGGACTATCCTGTGGCCTCCAGGATTTTTAGCAGCATCTCTGGCTTCTTCCAACTGGATGCCAGTAGCACTCTATCTGTTGTAACAGTCAAAAATGTCTTCAGACATTGCCACGTGTCCCCTGAAGGTGCAAAATTGCCCCAGTTGAGAACTGCTGTTTGTAATCCAAATGTTGCTTTGGATTTTAGTTTCCTCCTAAACTGAGAGATTTGGACTTTGATAAGAAACTCCCCACCCTGCCTCCGTTCAGCTCTCATACTCAGTATGTCCACCACCATCTAGCTGCTTCACCGCTTTCTTGACTGCTTTTTTATATAGTTTTTTGTTTATACCTGACTCTAACAAATGCTAGCAAGTCTTATTGCACATTGCCAAACTGAATAGAGGGACCCAGAGATGATATATAGGCATGGTTCCGTGTGTGTGGCGTTGTGGTGGCTTTGAAGTTGCTTTGACACCTAGTTTTGTCCCTCACCCACTCTCCTTCTCAGGAATATCTGGTTTTATTATAGCTTGAGTCATCTGTTGAGTCGTTGAGGAGAGAGGTATTCATCTCAACATTATTGTTGTTTCCAGCACCACCTGTCTATCTGTTCTCACTCGAGACAGCTCTGTAAGGGTTTTGTCTTTGATGGCGTTCGTTTTGTATTGGACATTGCTGTTGATTTGTGGAATTTGGAGAAACTCACTAGTGCCTTAACTGGACTGTGAACTCCTTAAGAGCACAGAGCTCTGCTGATGTATCTGTTTTATTTATCCTCAACACTTAGCATAGTGCCTGGCAGCACTTGATGGTTGTTGTCCAAATAAAGGAAAGACCACACATTTTCAGAGGGGAAATAACATTGCAGGCTAATGACTTTGATGCTCAAAAGCATGGCCTACAGATGGCAGCATCAGGATCACCTGGGAGCTTGTTAGAGGCTTTCCGGCTTTGCTCCAGACCTATGGAATCAATCTGCATTTTAACAAGATCCCTGGGTGATTGTGTGCACCTTAAAGTTTGAGAAGCACCAGCCTCAAAGACCCTCTCATCTGTTTCCAGCCTTCTCCAATCATGCGTAGAATGAAGAATGGCTGGTTGGTTTGGTGCCCTCCTCAAAGCCTGTGCTTCACAAATTGCTTAGAGACAGATACTTATTTGTCTGTGCTTTATCAGCATTCTGTGTATCTGAACGCTTTCTGTGTGTCAGGTACACATAGGCTATTGTATGTTTTAATATATTCTTTATTTGGCCTGGTCAAAATGACCCTCAACAAATACAGACTATTAATTAATCTCTCATTAATCAGACTGCAGATGCCCAGTAAGAGTCTGAATCTTGGTAGTTATCTGTGTAGTGTAGGAGGGTCAGTTCACGTGCTCCCTAAATGAAAGTGTTTAATCCTGTTCTTAGGTAAGCAGCCCCTTTAAGACACCCTATTTCTTGAGAAGCTGCATGGCATGGTGGTTAAGAGCAGGCTCTGGAGCTGAGGTTCGAGCTCCCATTTACTGGCTAGGTGAGCCTAAGCAAGCTAATTAACCTCTGTGCCTCAGTTTCTTCATCTGTAAAATGGGAATAATAACAATAATATGTATAGAGTTGTTTGAGCTAATGTTGTAAAGTGCTGCATTAGTACCTTCTTCCACTGCTATAAACAAATACCTGAGACTGGATAATTTATACAGAAAAGAGATATATTTGGTTCACAGTTCTGCAAGCTGTATGGGAAGCATAGTGGCTTCTGCTTCTGGGGAGGCCTCAGGACGCTTCCAATCATGATGGAGGGCAGAGAGGGAGCAAGGTGTCTCACATGGCGGGAGCAGGAACAAAAGAGAGTGAGCAGGGAGGTGCTGCACACTTGTAAACAGCCACATCTCTTGAGAACTCACTATCACAAGAACTGCACCAAGGAGATGGTGCTGGGCCATTCATCATCATGGGAGAAATCCATCGCCATGATCCAGCCACCTCCCACCAGGCCCCCTCTCCAACAATGGGAACTTGTTGGAGATGGGGCAGTTAGACAAGAGGTTTGGTGGGGACACAGATCCAAACCATATCAAGTACTTAATGCAGTACTGGTCACATTGTAATTGTTATAAACTATATATAGAGAGAATTATTATGTAACTGTCCTAATTATAGCATATGTATATAACATAGTTGTCATCTGTCAGTACTGTTCTCACCACTTTTTGGTAGGGGGAATGTTAGCCTCCCATATTTGCCCCATCCTAATCCCTAGAGCCTGTGAATATGTTATGTTACATGGCCATGGGGAATTAAGGTTGCTAATCACTAACCTTAAAATAGAGAGATCATCTGGGATTATCGAGATGGGCCCAGTGTAACCCTAACCAGAAGAGTCAGTGTCAGAGTGATGTGATTGAGAAGACTTACCCAGTCATCAACTGGCTTTGAAGGTGGAAGGGAACCACCAGCCAAGGAATGCAGGCAGCCTCTAGAAGCTGGCAAGAAAATGGATTTTCCCCTAAAGCTTCAGAAAATAATGTAGCCTGCCAGCATCTCACTAAGCATTTTAGCTTAGTGAGACCCATAGTAATAAATGTGTTGTTCTTGAATTGTCTTAATTTTTAAATTTCTTTTATAGAGATGGGGTCTCGGTATGTTGCCCAGGCTGGTCTTGAACTCTTAGGCTCAAACAATACTCCCACTGTGGCCTCCTAAAGGGCTGTGATTACAGGCATGAGCCAGGGTGCCTGGGCAAATATATATTATTCTAAGCCACTAAGATTGTGGTAATTATTACTGTAGCAAATAGAAGACAATTACAACTCTCCTGCCATTGTTTTGGAATCTGCCACCCTGCCCAGATTGTGAATTTCCTGAAGGCAGGATCCATGCCTCCATATTATCTTCATATGCTCAGGACTTGCCAGCACTTGGTAGGTGTTAGCAGAAGGCCGAAGCACTAACTGCTCATATAGTTTGCCCCTGGCTTTCCCAGATCAAATAGTCGACCCACAGCTTCTTTGTTAGCCTGAGGGTGGCCATCATGGTAAGGTTTGATGAAAGCTCCAGAGGATGGAATACACGGTATTAGTCTGCTGGAGCTGCCATAACAAAATACCACAGACTTGATGGTTTAAACAACAGAAATGTATTTCTTATAGTTCCGGAGGCTGGGAAATCCAAGATCAATATGCCAGTAAAGTAGGTTTCATCCTGAGCCTTCTTTTAGCTTCTAGGCAGTCGCCATCTCACATGCGTGATTTGTATCCACATGACCTCTTCTTTTGGATAAGGAGGGTGAGGTGGTGGTTCTAGTGTCTCTCTCTTTTTTTTTTTTTTTTTTTTTTCCTTTTAGAGGCAGGTCTCGCTCTGTCATCTAGGTTGGAATGCAGTGGTGCAATTACACCCCACTGCAGCCTTGAACTGGGCTCAAGCTATCCACCCACCTCAGCCTCCCAAGTAGTTAGGACCATAGGCACACCCCCCCATATCCAGCTAGTCTTGAACTCCTGGCCTCAAGCAATCGCTGAGATTACTGGCACAAGCTACTGCCCCAGCTCATTTCTCCTCTTATAAGGACATTGATCCTATGGAATCAAGGGCCCCGCCCTTATGACCTCTTTTAACCTTAATTTCTTCCTTATAGGCCCTCCCTCCAAATACAATCACATTGTGGATCAGACTTGAATATATGAGTTTGGGGGCTGGGGGACAGTTCAGTCCATCACAGTGATCGTAGTGAAGCCTGGGAGTGCACCTATATAAAGTGCTGATCTGCCCCATTTTGGGCTGCTGGGAGGATATAGAAAAGCTTCCCTTTGGCCATCATGTACCCCTCATCTGATTTATTTTGCATGGCTGCCGTATGAGCATGGCAGTGTTACCCCATTTTACAGATGAGGAAACAGTCTCCTTGAGGTTAAGTAATCTTTTCATGGTTTCACAGCTAGAACCTAGCTAGAAAACTCAGGTTCCTGTGTCTCCGAAGACGTACCCACTGCATGACTGGTTTTCCCTACTGAAAAGGGGGCATGCTTATCATGAAAGGAATTTCATCCTTGCACGTCTCCACGGTGGTTTTAGCTGCCACTTTCAGTTCTCCAGAGCTCAGATGACAGAGCCAGTCTTGCATAAGGTGTTCCAGTGAGGAGTTAAAAACTGCTAATAGGCCGGGCGAAGTGGCACACACCTGTAATCCCTGCACTTTGGGAGGCTGAGGCGGATAGATCACAAGGTCAGGAGATTGATACCATCCTGGCTAACACGGTGAAACCCCGTCTCTACTAAAAATACAAAAAAAAAAAAAAAAAAAAATTAGCTGGGCCTGGTGGTACACACCTGTAGTCCCAGCTACTTGGGAGGCTGAGGCAGAAGAATCACTTAGACCTGGGAGGCAGAGTTTGCAGTGAGCCGAGATCGCACCACAGCACTCCAGCCTGGGTGACAGAGCGAGACTGCATCCCAAAAAAAAAGAGAAACCACAAATAAGAGGGGATTGTATCATGATGACAAGCCTCGCAGCCACTAAAAATATAGAGATGGATGCTTGTCTCATCTCAAGGACCTCTGGATCCAGAATCTTAAGACCACCAATGTGGTGTTAAGTGACCATACTAACTGGCTGAATGTTGGGAGCCAGTTGTGCACAAGTCCTGGAGAACGTTCGCCCCTACAGCCTTATTCCCACATTACCACGCAATTTCCTATAGGCTATGACATTCAGGTTAGGATTTTTATAATGGCTGTTTCCGGTTTTGTGGGTTTTCAATTTTAATACAGTCATTGATCAGTCATAATGAAAAGGGTGGGAAGATGCCCGGCTGTCTTCCTAGAAGAGTCTAACGTGGGGGAGAAATGCTA